TTCTGATTATCAGATGCTGAAGAGGAGTGCAGCTTCTGGACCCCTCAAAGAGAGACTAAGTTTAGGGCAATCGCAGATTTTCAGATTCGTAAGAGCAGTCAGCTTCTGGAACTCCTCAAAGAGAGACTCAAGCTCAGGCAATCGCAGATTGTCAGATGCTCAAGAGAGGTCAAGTCTCGGAGCCCCTCAGAGAGAGACTTAATCTTAGGGCAATTAATGATGTCCATAAACCTAATAGTGGTCAGGTTTTGGAGCCCCTCAGAGAGAGACTCGAGCTCTGGGCAATTGGAAATTTCTAGTTTCTCAAGAGAGGCCAAGTTTTGGAGGCCCTTTGAGAGAGACTTGAGATTTGAGAATTCGTCAATACGAAGGAATTTTAGAGTAGCAGGAAGAAAACATGAGTCCGGAAAGGAAGTTAGCGTTGGATATACACTGTGCAGGGTGAAACGCCGAAGAGAGGAGAGACTTTGTAGGCCACACTCTGATAGAGGCTTAAGTTCTTTGCAATTGGAGATATATAGCTCTTCTAGGTTGGGGGGCAAATTTTGGTCAGGAAATGACTCAAGACTTTGACAGTCCGCTATCTTGAGTTTTTTGAGGAATGCGAGGCTTTGACTTTCGCTAGGGAAGGAAAAGAGATTTTCAAACTTAGAGATGTCAAGACTTGTTAGGTTGGGAGTGAGCAAACCACTTCCTGAGAGCGAGTGGTCGATTTGATACTTCAACTCACATTCAAAATCTGGCACCTGTTCTGTAAACTCCGGCACCTGTTCCGTAAACTCCGGCACCTGTACTGTAAACTTCGGCACCTGTACTGTAAAACTCTCCAAATTGGGCCAATTACTGATCCCAAAGCTTATGCTCTGTTTGACCATCTCTTTAAGCCACTCCAAATTCCCGCAGCAGATGAGAACATGCTTAAGCGTGGAGATACGAGTGTCTGTCGGCAAGGATCTCAGAGACGAGCAATTCCTGAGCCGCAACACTTCAAGACGACTGATGCAATTAGGGATGAACTCCAGAGAAAAGGAGTTTGTAACGCAAAGATGACTAAGCTTGGGCGGGAGACTGTCCTCTGGAAAACAAACAAGCGTTTGGCAGTCGCTGATATCCACCTCCGTGAGAGATGTATGGCTTTTTAGTCCATCAGGCAACCTCTCCAGATTTTGACACAACTTTAAATCCAATCTTTCAAGATTACAAGGTAGCCTTTGATCTTTATCTAACAGTTGCTCAAGTAGAGGACATTTGTAGACCTTTAGCCGTTGCAAACTCGAAAGGTATTCTGGTGCAAACCCATTCTGCCACAAAGTCACCAACGTGGCACAACCTTCAATTTCAAGAACTTTAAGTGACACCAACCCATTTGTGAACTCCTTCGGCAAATGAGTTAGTCCTGACATACTCCTAATTTCCAATTTGGTTAATGAGGATAATCCAGTGAAACTTTTCAACATCGCCCCGTCACAATATTTTATGATTAAATCAAGAAGAGAGGGAAGGCTGAAGTGTGGAAGACTCACCAGTTTAGGACAATTGCATATAGAAAGCTCACGAAGGCAAGGGAAAAGTCCTCTAAAATCAACACCATAAGAAAAAGACCATTCCTTCCATTTTGGCATCTTGTCAAACCGCAGAATCTCGAGCGAGGGAAATGGAATCTCCAAAGTGCTACCACTGCAATAGAACTTTACACCCACACTTTCTACGGCATGCATGTCTTCTATGTAGAGTTCTTTGAGCAAGGGTAGTTGGCCAAGTGGTGGTAAATCCATGCATTTTGTACAACCTGTGAGACTAATGCACACTGTTTTAGAGAATGACGGATCCCCAATCCAACTAGGAAATGCACTGCCCCTGTAGAATTCAATTCTAAGACTTTTCAATTCTCTATGTGGTCGTAGCATGCCCAACACACTAACCTGTAGCCCTTCATTTTGAGAATCTTCAATGTTACGATTCCATTTGAATTCCAACTCATTAAGATACTGCTTACAACTTAAATTGGCCTTCTCTGCTTCCTGCAATTTTGTAACATTTTCTAGCCCTTCAATGGAAAGCTTACTTCTTAGAAGCGATAAGCCACTCAAATTTTCGAGTCCAAATCCATTATTTTTGCCAACAATAATCCTTGACAATGTTTGTAAACATTTCAATCTACTGATCCCCGAAGGCATCTCTTTTAAATTTGGAGTATCTCGAATGCCAAGATGGCGTAGGTTCACCAAATTTCCAATACTTGGGGGCATCTCTTTTAAATTTGGAGTATTTCGAATGTCAAGATGGCGCAGGTTCACCAAATTTCCGATGTTTGTGGGCAACTTACGAAGTTCCAAACAATTTCTTAATGATAGTGTCTGTAAATTGTAGAGAGTACTCACTGATTTGGGCAACGATTCAATCAACGTCTGAGATAAATTAAGGTACCGAAGATGCTTCAAATCTCCAATTGAGTTGGGTAGCTTACTTATTAAGTACCCACTCAAAGATAAGACTCTTAAGTACCGTAAGTTTGGTAGTAGCTTGACCAAAACGCTATTGCTTAAATACATGTTGGGGTGGCCATCTGACAAATAAATTGGAAGCGGTATGAAAGTCCGCAAACCACGAAATTCATGAAATGGCTTGAATCTTTTATAGACCTCGTATGGGTGGCGATTGAATGATGAGTGGCAAGCTTTTTTAGAAATCTTACACCATTCATTTCCCTCCATATTATCATCCAACCTAAAGCATGTTTCTCCTGCAACATATTGAGCTAGATCATTCAAAAGGTCATGCATCACAAATTTTGATTCCGTGCCACCTGAACGTTGGAAGAAGGACCTTGATAATAGCTCCATGAAACACTGTCCCCCTAACACTTCCATTTCTTCTGATTGCTGCAGAAATCCTTCTGCCATCCATAACAAAACTAACTCATCCATTTCAAACTCGTAGTCCTTTGGAAATATAGCACAATATGCAAACATTTGCTTCAACTCAGAAGGGAGATGGTGATAGCTTAATCTGAGAGCTGGAAGAATGCGACTCTTGTGCTCTTCTAACTCCCAGATTTGGCTATTCAGTATACCTTTCCACTCATCTGGGCTATGTATATTACGCAGAAGGCCTCCTAGTGTCTTTGCTGCCAAAGGCAAACGTCCACACTTTCTGACTATATCCTTGCCAATTAAACCCAAATTTGGATGGTCAACAAAATTTGTTTTGCCCAATGAATGTTGAGCCAACAAAGACAAACAATCGTCTTCTGCCAAAACATTCAGTGGGTAAGAAGGCACAGAACCCATGATCCGTGCAACACCTTCATTCCGAGTCGTAACAATAATTTTACTTCCAGTTAGCCCAACTAAAAAAGGAGCACGGAGGCGATCCCAATCTTGGTAGTTCTCATTCCAAACATCATCCAAAACAATAAGAAATTTTCTTCGAGAAAGTTTCTTTTTGAGACTCACTTGCAACATGTTGAGGTCGCTGAAGTCACAACTTTCCTTGGTCACCGCCTGACAAATAATCTTGGTTATCATGAATACATCGAACTCTTCAGAAACACACACCCATGCTTTCGTATCAAAGAAATCCTTAACCTTCTCATCATTGTAGACAAGTTGAGCAAGAGTGGTCTTGCCCACACCACCCATACCAACTATTGGAATGACACGTGCTTCATCATTATTCGATTCATCCTTGAGCACCAATTCAAGTATTTCTTTTTTTTCCTTTTCCCGACCATAGACATGGGATTCAACCACCAAGGAAGTTGTTTCCAATCTCTCTCTGCTTTTGCTTGACCCTGCTTCCGGAGTAGCTGTCAAACCCAGATCATCTCTCAGTTGTGCCATTTCTTGTAATCTGAGAGTGATCTGCTTAATCTTGGACCCGAACTTGAATTTTAGCTCAATAGATCTACGGAAATCAGTCAAAGAAGTAGATAGGAAGTTCAGTACCTTCACCTTGCCTGTGGTAGCTGCTGGTTCGGTCTCCGTCTTCAATTTATGGGCCAAAGCTTCTGTCTCGATCTCGTCCACAAGATCATCCATATCGTAAGCCAGATCCCTCAGATCCTCCAGCCACAGATTCACAGTTTCGTTAGTTATTTGCTTAGTCTCTGCATCGTTGAGCAACTCTTTAATAGTACTCAACACTTTGAGCAATGTCATCACCTGGGTATGAATTCGGGCGCTGCGAACAAAGCTCAACAGCTCGCGAGAGGCCAATCTCTCGAATAGCACAGCTAAAAACGCGCCCAGAAAAACTTCTGCAATAGCCATTTTGTTTTCGATTTTGGGAGATGGGTTAGGAACAAGAGGAACACCGAGAGAAAATAGAGGTGTGTGAAGGATGGTCAGTGCGATTAAGGCCACCTGAAGGTCAGTGCGATGAAAGAAAAAAAAAGGTGTATTTTTTCAACAGAGGAATATATTATTATTTGTTAGATAGAATACTGTAATAACTTTTGTCCTTTGTGTTTTTCCTTTTCCTTTTTCCTATATAGTTAGGTGATATACAGATATAGCAATACTATTTTTCACTTGTGTTTCAGCAATGTTTAAAAAATTAATTGACAAAATTTTTTTTGCAAAAAACAAAAAAAAAAAAATTATTTATGTACAACAAGGGTGTCCTAGAAATGAACTGTTAAAGGATCTAAACAACTCGAGATTGACTTGAGCTCAGTCCTTTATGGGTTCGTTCAAATTATAAATTTGACTTGAATTTTATATGATTTTTAAACTTTGTTATTTGAAAAAGTTGAATTAAATAACGTTTGTTCAACTCAATTAGATTCCTAAACCGATTAGCTCCCCACTTATCCACCAAATAGTTCGAGACCATACACGCCCCTATATCTTCACTCAAAGAGATTTTTGATTTTGTAAAATTCTAGGTTATGATTTTATAGATTATCGCAAAATTAAATCAAACTCGAGTTGCTTGGATCTTGGAATTGGACAGTTAAAGGATCCAAGCAACTCGAGTTTGACTCAGACTCGGTTCATTTAGATTCGTTCAAATTATAAATTGAACTGAATTTTATATAATTTTTAAGCTTGTTTTTGTTGAACAAGTTCAATTAAGTACCACGTAGTTCAACGCAATTAGGTTTCTATCTATAAATAATTTTAACTCAATTTTTAGACAATCGCTATCGGAAAGATGATTAACTCTCAACTTATCATCAAATAATACTAAACTTTACACACTTGTCTGAAATTCTAGGATTTGATTTTATAGGCTATTATATAGATTTGGGGAGAATCTAAATGAGAAATTGATTATTCTAGCATTGATTTTTAGGAAATTTTGCTATGAAATTGAGCACAATTTCAACTCGAGTTTGGCTCGACTATTTGTAAGCTTCTACCAAGTTGCGTTTGAGCAAGAATATTAGTTTAACAGTCGAGTTTGAGCTCAATCAATCGCCTTCAAATTGAATTTGAACAAATTCAAGCTCGAAAAATTCAACTTGATTAAAACTTTTATTGTAGAATGATACGTCCTTGTTTAATGACCATATCTACATTCTTGTAAACTTCATAGTAAGTATTTCATACTATGTAGTCTATCTAAGTTTCTTTGAATGGTATAAATTTTCTCCAATTAGTCGATAAGGATAATTTTTTTTTTTTTTTTGTCAGTTGTCATCCCACGTTAAAGTAATTTTCAACAGACGAAGTGACATCAAGACTTATGATATCTTTACAGATAAGAAACCATATGCCACTAAATAATTTCAAATCATACTTTTAATGACATAATAGTTTTTTGTCCTTGAACATATGTATTTAGTGTCAATATTTTTAATTACAATCTAAATTTTGTGGTTAAAAGTATAAATTCTTGTAGTGTGTCGACTAATGTTTGGGTAGGTGGCGATTACTTTGAGAAATTCATGTCTAATATTTGAAAAAAGGTAAGGAAAAAAAAANAATTCTTGTAGTGTGTCGACTAATGTTTGGGTAGGTGGCGATTACTTTGAGAAATTCATGTCTAATATTTGAAAAAAGAGAAGGAAAAAAAAAGGGACAATCTAATTTACCGAGAAAAAAAAAAGGGAAAGGATTTTTCAACAATAGTATTTTGTAATTACAATTTAATCATATCAAATTGCAATTCGAACAAGTTTATTGACGGTTCAATTGGTTGATTTAGTATTGATCGCAAAAGCTTGGGACAAATCCCAACTCTTTAGGATTGATCCGAAGTATTTGAATTGCATTGGATTGTAATTGTGACCCTATTAATCTAATTTTAATATAACGCGACTTTATTGATACTATATACAATTTAAAATATAAAATATGATAAGAGTCAATAAAATTATTCGACAGTTCCCAATAAATTTATCTAATGATCATCTACATCCCTCTTAAATTCATTCGTATTTTACCTTACCTTCAAATACAAATTACCGTCAATAATTTACAATCCCTATCTGCCCCGTGTGAGTCTCATAAAACTTTTGTACGTAGACAACAGTATTAAAGCCACCAGAGATGGGCCATGGAGTAGGCAAGGACCTTAAATTATTGAGATTCTTTTGGTACCGCCTTGTGCAACCCTGTCTACACGCAAGAGTGGTGGATCCTTCGCTTTGGTTTCAACCTTGTCAGCAATTAATGCAAGGAAAAAGATACAAGAGATGACATTTAAGTCCACAATAATTTTAGGGTGAATTTTATTTTGTACTTTAATAGATGAAAGATTTAAAATTTTTTATTTTATTTTTTAAAAAATTAAATTTTTTATATTACATCCTCAATATATCAAAAAATATTAAAATATTTTTATCTTTTGTAACCGGCTCAACAGTTTGGAAAATAAAGCCGCCCCAAATTTTTAGTAGGTTCTATAATTTTAGGTCAATTACTAATCCACAAAAAAAAATTAAATCTATTTAATTTTAAGACCTAAAAAAATTCCTAAAAAATTAAGTCCAATCAAAATTTTTGTTGCAATAATTTAGGCTCATGATCCAATCTGAAATATTAGAAACTTAACAATCAGAAGTTAAAAAATAAAAAAAATACTCAAAAATCAATTCATATTTACCTTCTCCACTCTCTCTCACACACATACAAAATTAAAAATAAATTACTTTTTAAAAAAAAATTTAGTACAAAAAATAAAAAGGCCTCATTTAGTATATTTTCTTTAGGTCTCAAATTGCTTTGAAGCGCGTTTGCTTTTCGGTTAGCTTTCCATTAGTTTTTTGTCTGTGTAAATAAATTGACTTTTGATGAAAAAAATAATAGAAACTAACAGAATGATCATATTATAAAAATTTTTATACATTGAAAATATAATATTAAAAATTTAATATTTGAGTGTGCAAAGTAAAAAATTTGAAAATTTTCAAGATATAAAGTGCGAAAAAGACCATAATTTTATGAGAGTAAATCAGTAAATGAAAAAAAAAAAGAAAGTTTTCGATAGCTGTGGCAATCGACAATCATGTAGGGTGGGTATTTTCTTTATGGAGACATACATATGAAAGTTTTGGTTGGAAGTATGAAGTATGGACAAAAATTCAAACTACTGTAATTTTAATACGACTTAATTTTATTGACATCATACACAATTAAGTCATTAATTTATGGTCGCTATCTGTCCCATGTCAAATGGGTCAAAGGACTTTTGCATGTACGTAGACAGCTGCATTACAACCACCTAGTTGAGGATAAAATATTCGTTACAACGGTGATACATGTGGTGAGGTGATGTAATATCATCAATTAATAATAATAAAAGAAATAAACAGATAGACGCCACAAAAATTAATAACTAATCTGCTTTTAAGCAAATAACTCCCCACTCTTCTACCATGTAAGCCCAAGTAACATTCACCTTTCTCATTTAGTATTTTATTATTAGTTGGTGATATGGTATCACCGTTGCATTCAATATTTACTCCTAGTTGAGATGGGCCATGGAGTGCATAAGGACATTAAATTATGAGATTATGGGATGTGAGTACCGTTTTTAAAATTTATTTGGCTTTAAGTACCACCTTTAAACTTATCTTTTTAAGTTCTCTTTTTCATCAAATAGTTGTTAATAAGTACACATTTTAAAATATTTTTAAATTCTTTCTAAAATGTATTCTATAATTACCCCTGCCATAAATAGTGTATATCTACTTGAATGTGAGACTTTCAAAATTCTTTTTGATATTTGTGTATCATTTGAATTTTAAAATTTCATACACACACACACATATATATACNGGACTTTTGCATGTACGTAGACAGCTGCATTACAACCACCTAGTTGAGGATAAAATATTCGTTACAACGGTGATACATGTGGTGAGGTGATGTAATATCATCAATTAATAATAATAAAAGAAATAAACAGATAGACGCCACAAAAATTAATAACTAATCTGCTTTTAAGCAAATAACTCCCCACTCTTCTACCATGTAAGCCCAAGTAACATTCACCTTTCTCATTTAGTATTTTATTATTAGTTGGTGATATGGTATCACCGTTGCATTCAATATTTACTCCTAGTTGAGATGGGCCATGGAGTGCATAAGGACATTAAATTATGAGATTATGGGATGTGAGTACCGTTTTTAAAATTTATTTGGCTTTAAGTACCACCTTTAAACTTATCTTTTTAAGTTCTCTTTTTCATCAAATAGTTGTTAATAAGTACACATTTTAAAATATTTTTAAATTCTTTCTAAAATGTATTCTATAATTACCCCTGCCATAAATAGTGTATATCTACTTGAATGTGAGACTTTCAAAATTCTTTTTGATATTTGTGTATCATTTGAATTTTAAAATTTCATACACACACACACATATATATACACACACACATGTAATACAGTGACACGTTCAACAAAAAAATTTGTGTTACTGTTTAATGTTACTCTTTTTTTGTTGAGTGAGTTACTGTTTGATGTTACTCTTTTTTTGTTGAGCGTGTTACTGTTTGATGTTACTATTTTTTTGTTGAGTGTGTCACTGTTTGATATCACTGTATTATGTGTGTGTATATATATATATATATATATAATTTTAAAATTTAAATGATACACAAATATCAAAACGAATCTTAAAAGTCTCACATTTAATTAGGTATGCACTATTTATGATAGGGATAAAAAGACTTTTATGACTGTTTTTTAACATATGTACTTTAATCCCAATTATTTTAAAAAATATATTTTTATCCTATTAAATTTTTTGAAAGATACCGACCTCCCTAAGCCCCTTAAATTATTGACCCTCTCTTGGGACCCCCATGATGAAACCT